AAGGGGCAAGCTCTCAAATACAAGAGAAGAAAAAAAAAATTGTGTCCGTACCCACCTCTCACCACTACATCATGCTAAATCCCAAGGAGCTTTATTATGAGAACCTTGACCATTTCCTTGGTGAAGAGCTTTGGCTCATCTGCTCACTATGGGGCAGGGAAGCTGAAATTTATAGTTATGAACCAATAGCGACATTTAGGAGAAGGAAGTGGGCATTCCTATACTCTCAAATACATAAGTACAGCTCCCCCCACCCAAAACAAAAATTGTGTCTGTGCCTATCTTTCCACTACATCATGCTAAATCTGAGAAGCTCGATCATGAAAATCTTGACCACTTTCTGTGGTCGAGAACTTGCGCTTGCCCCCTCATTATACTTAATGTCAGTCATTATCAGTTATGGACCAATAGTCATATTTAGGAGAAGGAAGTGGGCATGCCCATACTCTCGAATACAGGAGCTGATTGAGATTTGAATGACGGTGATCACTGGGATTGGAACTCCTGACATGCTGTGAAAGGTATGTGATCATTCGTCAGCCAATTGAAGGAGCCTGCTTTTATGTCTCTCAATAGATTTATGGCGAATGCCGTTTCATTTTAAGACAAAGTTTTCATAGCCATGAATATATTTTGTCTACTGGCAAAGACATTGGAAGGCTTACACCCCGCTATTCAAAAAAAAGCTAACATCTGTGCCGCAAGTGTACAGAAATGTCTCCCTGGTAACGGAACATGAAGCGTGGAGTCCAACTTGCTCCTCCAACAATGGGATGAGCATTATACTTTGTCTGAATTTTCAAAGCATCTGGTTACCATGGGAACGCTTGAAATATTCTTAAAACACGGTCGGGCGTTTTAGAATACAAAAAGTTTATCACGGAACCTATTAAACATCTTTTGCCCTGGATTCACTCTTGTCCTCAAGAGACATTAATACAGAGGATAAAGAAACACAAGTCAGCTTCTTTCCTCCCCTTTCCCAGAACTATATAGGGGGCTGCTGCTTCAAGGTGTTGTTTCTGAAATGTATTAAACTTTATCTGAGAAGACTTGTTAGTTGTTGCATATACAAAAGCACAAATTATCTAAAGTGAACCATACCACCCGTGGATAACCATATACATCTCGCATTTTGTAAAAGATGTCCATAGGATGGACTTCCTCAATGACACAATTTCACTCAGTCCTGTGAATATGCAACTTCCTGGTGTCACAACTCACAGAGCCTGCCTTCTGAACTACTCAATGTCTGAACAATGTAAGATTATCTTTGCTTGCTGGAAGCAGTGCATGATGGGATATGTGATCTTGAGAAATGGAGATTGGATCACATTACGCAGCAGGGAAAGAAACGCAAAGCACACTGGGAATCCAGGAAGTTGATGAAAGTGATGGGCGGATGGAAGGCGGCACTCACTAGTAAAAGGGATTTTTTCAAGTAAGCTTTAATTGTATTATCAAAATCATCTCCAGTATGTATTCCTATTGCAGTGCTGATGTTATAACGGGAGAGGATACGCTGAGACTTTAGAACCCCTTTAAATAGAGCAGTTTAATTGAGAGAGACCTGCAAATGCAATGGACCTAGAGTTCTTCTTTAAAAACAATATGAATAGCCAATATTTTTTTTTCTCTAGGACAGGAACTGAAGGGAAAGCTCTCCAAAAGAGAACAGGCGGGGAAAAATAAGCCAAAGGGGATGAGCCCTTCCCTACCCTGCTGGCTGGCTCCTGAATCGGACAATCCGTTTCCTGATGTTCATATTAAATTGTCCACTTATGAATTAAAGTGGACAAACTCGGGAGGTAAATCTTAAAAATGCAATCATGTACCTGAACTATTAACAGAAATGTATCTTATTTGTGTATCACTTGGCTGTAGATCCTCAAATCATCTCTGAATTGGTGCTGACAATGTCCTTCCTTCTGGAGGGGGGCTACTTTTGTTCCTCATGGTCCCTGTGTGTGTGTTGTAAAGTAGTCACCGCTCCAAGCTCGCTCCTGTGATGGACTACAATCTCAATACAAATGAGTAAACTAAACATGAGACTGTAGTCCATCACAGGAGTGAGCTTGGAGCGGTGAATACTTTACAACACATACAAGGACCATTGGGAACAAAAGTAGCCCCCCTCCAGAAGGAAGGAAAGTGTCGGCACCAATCCAGAGATGATTGGAGGATCTACAGCCAAGTGAGAGACAAATAAGATACATTTTTGTTAATAGTTCAGTAACCTGAATGCGTTTTTAAGATTCAACTCCTGAGTTTAGTGTCCCTTTAAGCTAAGGGAGACTGATTATAAATATGATAGACTGCTTGGCATTAAACCAAGCCCACAAAAAGAAGCAGATTTAAAGGGAAAGATGAAGGATTCGTTATTTCCTTTTTAAAAACGTTATAACATTTTCATTCTCCATTCTGCAACCAACCTAAGCAAGACCAACATTTCAGAGACAGAATTTAGAAATGATTCAGTTTCAGATCCGCTGTTCTCTTCATGACCCGTCTCTTGGGTAGATGAGCGGGTGGACACAGCTGGGAGACGCAGCCCAAATTACGAGCGGGTCCCAGCAGCCACGCGGATAAATCGATGGAAAATAAACTCATCAGGAGGAAGAGATTGACAGGCTACCTCCAGCTGCACTCTCGCTACCGGCCTGTGACCTCTAGGAGGGGCGGCAGGAGCGCTGCTCTCAAAATAGATGAGCCATAATCAAATATTGATATTTATCAGACTCCATTCAGCCAGCACTGGCTGTAAGGCACGCCATGGCCCTACACAACCAAACGCCTGCTGTAAAAATACAACCGCTGTGCCTAGCACTCCAAACGTTCCATATGTCCTATTCCTGAACTGTACTGATGGTAAAGCTGGCGTTACCAAGCAAACAGCTAAATATACAGAGGAAATACATTTATGAGAGATGTTTTACCAGCCAAATGATTTGTATTTGTCCATCCAGCCCTGGCATTTACATAGCTCTGGCACACAGCACAGACCTGCCCGGCAGTAAAAGGATCTTTCTCCGTTGCTGTTTTACTTACATGTGCCATTTCTAGTCCCATCCTGTGACTGCACAGTGAAAAAAAAGGAAGCACACTCATGGGGTCATCTCTATGTCACTCTGCTCTCTCTTCTTATTAGCATGCACTTCCTATTGTGCACTGCAGCACAACTAATTTGCTTCTTGTACTGCTTCTCTTTCTCTCAGTCTGAACTCTACTGTACAGGGGCCGCAAAAGGATGATACTAAGTCTAATTCAGGTATTTACACTGCTTGCAATAAAAAAAAAATACATTAAATGATGTATTAATGATTACATTCATTTGTGCCTTTTAGATCTACTTGGAGTTCAGTTTTAAGCCAAACAAACTTCAACATATGAGACAATTCTAATCCTATTTATATTGTACTGTATTGTAACTGTACTGTCTCCCCAAATTTTGTAAAGAACGGAGTAAACTGTTGGTGCCAATTATTTTTTTCTAGGGATGCACCGATACTGGTTTTTCTGTATCGAGTAGGAGTACCGATAATTTGCTTTCGGGACTCGTCAATACCGAGTAACGATACCGGTGCTTCCACTGGCATAGAGCTGGCTTCCTGGGCAATCAGGAAGCCAGGCAGCACGTAATAACATGCTGCTCGGCTTCCTTTTTGACCTGGAAGCCGGCTCCATGTTGTTTGACCGCCTCGATTGTGATTGGCTGAGAAACCAGCTTCCCAGCCAATCAGCAAGGAGCCATCAATAAGCTGGGAGGCGGGTCATTACTCGCCGCCCGGCTTCCTGATTGCCTGAGAAGCTGGCTCCATGTTCCCCTATGGCACTGCCGGTCAGAGTAAATCTTCCCCTGACTGGAAGTTCCGGTATCAGAGCATTTGGGCGAGTACTCGGCCAAATACTCGGTGTCAGCACAGATACCGATACTAGTATCGGTGCATCCCGAATTTTTTTTATTGACGGGATACAATTAAATAAATACCATCTTTAATTTAAAATAAAATACACAAATATAAACTTTACTGCAGAACAAAACGGCATGCACACATTTTTGCAATCGCACTGCACTGGAATACATGCCATCACCGTACTGTGTGTACCATTGCATGGGGATCACACTGTGGGTGGGAGTCGCGTTTGGGGTGCCATTGAAATTATTGGTACTGCAACGCACCTACCGCAGCAGAATTTGTCAGGCCAAAACCGAAAATGACTTTTTTTCCCACCTTTTATCATGGGGCTTGAATTAGCTTCAGCCATGGAATGACAGCTGCCAGTGGCAAGTCTCCGCATACAGCAGCTGAATGTAAATACAGCAGGTAGTGGGCGGGTGCAATAGCCAGCCTGCTATTGGCCATTTCATATTGCAATAGCCAATAACATGCTGGCTAAAGCACCCACCCACTACTTGCTGTGCCCTCCTCCCAGCATGGAGGAGAGAGCTAGGGGATCCAACCAACTAACTCAGAATGAGAATAGTTGACAACTGTTCTCATTATCAATTAGTTGGTTGCAGCCATAATAATACATAATAACAGTTATTAATAATATAAACACTGCTGTTTTCACATTTACCAAGGCAGCAAACTAAGCGTCTCCAAACGTAAATGAAATGGGGGGTGATGCTTTATCTCTTTAAAGTGCACATTTTAGGACAGGTGCATAAATAATATTTGTGAATACATTTCACATATTACAATCTATAGCAGTTACAACTGTTTTAAACAAAAAGCTGTAAATTGTTTACATTTTCCATGGACAAGTCAAATGGTTGTCCTTCAGCACCGAGTACTCGGGTATACACTGGCCTGGTGTGCGACGGGGCTATCTTTATTGGTCTCCCTAGGAAGCACATGATCCAGGCAGAGTGACTGTGGAGGTGTTCAGACAGTACAAAAAGTAGGAGTGTGTAGCGGAGATGTAACAACAAAATATTCTAATGACTTGATCATCCTAATAAATGTTGTTCTAATGATCCTGATAACAAGAGGTACCTCAAATTTTTGCCGCAGCTCCTCATTTCCTTCCTCTCCCTCTGGTGGCACGGGCACATTGAAATACTCCCCCTCTTCCTGGCTCAGCATCTTGAACCTTAAAAAGAATATGATGCAAGGATTTACTGATAATACTAGAAAAGACATGTAACAGATGAAGATCTATTCCACCCCTGACATGCTATCTCACATGAAAGGTAAAACATATCGTTTTCATTATGGGTGACCCGCTGGCTTCTTCTATCTCTCCAGCGTGCATGTAAGCCTGCAGTCCCACCAATCTACTGGAGCCACTTTAAAGGAAATCTAAACCCAAAAACACAAATTGTAGCATTGCAGCTTACCAGCCCTTAGAACAGGGAGGGCAAACTCTGGCCCTCCAGATCTTGTGGAACTACAAATTCCATAAGCACAGTGGCGTAGTGGTTAGCACTTTTGCCTTGCAGCACTGAGGTCCCTGGTTCGTATCCTGGACAGGACACTATCTACAAGGAGTTTGCATGTTCTCCCTGTGCTTGCGTGGGTTTCCTCCGGGTACTCCGGTTTCCTCCCACACTCCAAAGACATGTCTAAATTGGTCCTATATATATGCATGTGAGATAGGGACATTAGATTGTAAGCTTCTCGAGGGCAGGGACTGATGTGAATGTGTAAAGCGCTGCGTAAATTGTCAGGAATATGTAAATTCCAGAATTCCAGTGTCTTAACTGATATTGCAAACAATCTATGAACTTTCCCAGCTATCTTTTGTGAACTACAAAGCAGCTCCCTGTAATGAAGATGAGGAGCAGTAGAGGAGGCTGTAGTCCAAATCAGGAGAGCGGCCTAGGGTGACAATGATACCCCTCTGTAGATGCAGTGCAGTGAGTGAATGTTGTCACCGTGACAGGAAGTGTGTTACTGACAAAGGAAAAAAAAAAAAAGGTAAACTATCTTGTTCTCCTTGCTCCTGTTTCCTCTATGTGCTCCTAAGTCTGTGTTGGGGACTAACAAATGAAAAAAAGATAATGGACAATACAAATCATACTAATAATAATAATGATAAAAATATCCCCAGCGCTTTGTACAAAAATGATGAATACCAGAGTGGTAAAAGGACAGGCGTGCTCCTTTATTGTTCTTATGGCCTGGAGAATGATGAGACAGGAAGGAGTAGGGAAGACTAGACGGGCTCGTATGATGCGGAGCCCAGACTACAATTATTTCCTGGAGACATGATTGATAACCGCCTTCGTGCACCGTGGAGCTGAACAGGATATGAAAATTTGGAAGACTGTGTTGGACAAGATTAAAAGACCACTACAGGGTACGAAGCAAAGCAATGATTAAAAATCCTGCTGTTCCGAGGTCAACGGATATCTGCTCTTCTGTCATCAAACAAGTAGATCAACCATTTCGGAGACACCATTATCTAAACGGCTCCGCAGGTTTTATGGTTCAAAACGAGGCTGGATTGAAGGCTGAAAGGAAACCTCTAGTACAGAGGCAGCCACACTCCTGACCTCCTGAAGAGTCTTAATGCCTAGATGTCTCTGGCTCAAATACTGAACTAGAACATGAAAATAAACTTGAAATCTTGACCTGCGTACTTCGTCTGGGCCAGTGACTCTGAAGGCATTGAAGAAGTGGCAATTGGCAATGGAAATCCCCATATTTCTCTCAAGACAGGATCCCTTAAAATGGTTGCAGGAACTGAACCTCTGGCACACTAAGCCCCTCTCACTGACACCCTAAAACAGGCCTTGCTTGTGCCAACACAATCACAGCCAAAAAGTGTTGGCCATTTACAGATCTAATTTTGTTGGGTTCCTGCTGAAATTGGCCTTGCCAGCACCCCCAATACACCAAGGAAAACACAACCCATATTAAGCTGTGGAGGAGGGGGACACAAACCAAATCACCATTTTAATAAAGAATAGCAGCTACAGCTGCATGGTCATTAACACAGTGACCGATGGATCTTTGCACCAAAGACCTGGCGCACCCAATTGCTTCTTATAGCCACCAGAAGATGCTTTCACTTGACTGGTAATGTTCTTTACTATGTTTCAATCACAGAAAATGAGATATATTATCCCACTCACCACCCATCCACTCCGGCCTTCTGCAGCTCCGAGATTCCGAACGATAAAGACCCCATGAAGTCGTTCCTGCTGGTAAGGTCCCAGTCCCAGATCTCCACCGACAACCTGCGATCTTTGTCTGACTCCTTCAAGTTGCTGGCAGAGAAGAGAAGACACTGGACAGGTCACACACACTGTGAGCAGAGCCAGGACCCAATCAGTAGCATCAACACTAAAAAGGTTCCTCACTCACAATTTAAAAGTCTCGTTATAGATCGGGTTCAGGGAACATTTGATGGTTTTGGTCTTCTGCTTGCTCTCACTTTTGGGGTCCGGGATGAGCTTCAGTTTCACGTACGGGTCAGAGAGTCCATTTGGGTCCATGGGAACCAGATTCCTGCCTTCTCCAACTACAGGAAGCGTCCGAGAAGAATTCAGTTTGAAGGTCAAGCAGGTAAAACATTAAATGGTTTGTTATTTTAGAGCCGATATAACTCCCCCCCCCCCCACCCCCCACCCCGGAACCCCCCGTTTAAATTGTGGCCT